AGTTGACTCACAATCACAAGATTCATCCATCAGCCCACCTCCTCCGCCGCCTCAATCCTTATCTCCACCGTCGCAGCAACGATTCTCGCCTTCTCCTCCGGTAAGGGTCGAGGGTAACAAGGCGATTCACGAGAAGCATCGTCACCGGAGAAAAAAATGGAGACAGAGAAGGAACCATCATCGGAAACAGAAGCTGAACACGGGAAAGACGGTGGGGCTTTTCTTCATCGGTGTAGTTGCAGCTTTGCAACTAGTTGTTGCTGCTTTCTTGCTTTTCAAAAGAAGACAGATTCTTCTTAACATCAATCATAATACACACTGAAAATCAAAAATCTGACATTTTTGCAGTTGGAGTTAAGTCAAATCTCTCAATTTTGGTCTTTTGTCTGTAAATTTTTACTCTTTTGACTGCAATTTTTAGATCTGAGTAATCCAAAATGTCCTCATGAAAATTCAATTCAAAATCTTTACTCTTTCTGACATATTTTTTTTTGTTACGGTCTCAATTTGGGGGTTGTTTGTTAGTAATGTTAATGACGCATTTAGAACTATCATTGTGTTCTTGATTCCTAGCTATAGATCTTAAGTTAAACAGAGACTGAAGGGAGGATTGTACGTATCATGTCTCCTGCCTTTTTGTATGGTTTCTTTACGAGTTAATGTCATACATATCATGTAGAATCATTGCAGTGGACCGATCTAAACTTATGGATTTGGGACCACTGGAACCCATGTGAGAGTCTGGTCCTAAAAGTTAGCATCTCTTTGTTTTTTTTTCTATTGGAAGGTTTCATAGAGGTCAATGTTTTTTAGATTTAGTTTTAGCCAATGATATTATAAACAGTGTGAACAACTTCAGGATCTTTAATGGAAAAAAAAAACTCACATATAATGTAATACTGTTGACAGGTTTTGAAGAATTACAAGGAACATAAAACAGAGAGAAGCATCAAAGAGAAAAGAAAGAGAATAGGTGTTGTTGTTTTTAGTCAAGGAGTTTGAGAGTCTTTTTTTTTTTAGCCGGTTCCTCCGAGGACACCCTTAAGCTTCTTGACGGTAGCAACGTCAAGGAAAGTAGTACCCACGACGAGTTCAGTGGGAAGATTGTTAGCAAAGAGTGCGAAATCGAGAATCTGCAGACCAGGATTAGCGCTGTTGAAAGTGATAATGCCTGCAGCAGCTGATTTTCCCGCATTGA